AAATTAACATTTTAAGTTTGTGATTTTTAAGACAAATCAACACGAATTCGATATTTATAATATTGAGTTTTGACGTTCAAACGAATATTATTAGAATTTCAGTACCATTTCCACGAAGAATCATCATAACGACAAATATACATATGTCTAGTTGAATAATTTCAGTTTATAAAACGACTGAAAGAAGTTTTAATAAGAACAAATAGATGGTTGACATGCTTCATTATAAAGTCTAATTCTGATTTTGAATTTCCCGCTACGTGTTGGTAAATGTGGCAACGCCACTGGTTCTTCTTCGATGTCCTGCAACACGATTATTTTCCATATATCGATACTATAGTGAGTGGTTAACCCACCTCTGGAGAACACGTAGTAAACACAAAATCAAAGCAAATCGTATCGAAAAATCGCAAATTGCAATAAAACGGGGTAATTCGCGAGTGCAACTTGTAGTGCCAATATTAGTGAGAAGTAGGCGGTGGAAAATCGGTGGGAGGTCGTCGCCATTGCCTCCCACTCTCGCTCTCTATCTCGCTCTTTCTGTTTTGAAAGACCTGTCATGTCTAGGTGTGTGCGTGTATGAGGTGGGGAGCTATGTGTGTGACTGCGGCGGAGTAACTGTAACAGTTGCAGTTACATTTACCGTTGCAAAGGAGCGGCGTTCGGGTGAGTGCGCCGAATAATTAATAAATGCGGAAATTAGTTTCTTTTTTTTATAAGTCAATCGCCCCCAACAAAGACTCAAATATCAGATTGTAATACATATATAGATTTACATATTCGTGGTTGTTACGTTTTAGCCATGACATCACTAAAAATATAAATCAAACCATCTCTAAAATTCCGTTGCAGTTTCAAGAGATTGTACCTGACATGGATGACACGGAATTCATGTTCAACGAGAAGCAATCGATCCGCGACTCCTCGCGCACCTTGAAGCGCTACGGGAGCACCTGCTGCAACAGCCTGAGGAACAATGAGACCCTCATCCGTCACATCGTCGAGAAGACGGATACGCTGCAGGGCATTGCCCTCAAGTACGGATGCACGGTGAGTCCAAGAGGTCATCTTCCGGAGAAAGCTTCATCCCAAAGCATATCTACATACCTCATTGTATTTTTATCTCAGCTCACGGGGAAGCAATAGCGCTCATTTATCACTTCCTGTTTAAAACATCCATCATTTATTATCTATCTCTTTAAAATAATATCCCTGGAGTACTGAGTGAATTTTAATATAAAATCGATTACTCTGCTTATAGATTTTAATCAATGTATTTCTCGACATTGCCATTTTACAAATACCATTTCATTGTTTTTGATATTTTGAATAAAAAAGAAAATTTGTAACCACACATATACCGTTGAATAGTGAGGCATTAGTAAAGGAAGCTCCAACAGTGCACAACTTTATTACAAATGTCAACTCCCAGAGATTTTCACATTTCTTCAGCCTTTTGCGGAAGCTCCACTAGTGCCGATTGAATATATGCTTTCAAATAAACTTACTGGTATATGCTAGCATCGATCTTAAGACTTTATATTCCCTGATTTTACTTTTATAATTTGTACCATATCAACCTTTAGCAAACATGATAAAATCTTCTTGGCATGCATAATATTTTATTATGCCAGGCAAAAGGGTTAGTTTAAACAGTTTCAAAGAGCATTACTGACACGCTAACCCTTTTACATTTTAAATGCTAGCACCACTAAATTTAATTCGCTGAATTGGCTCCTTGACATTTTAAAATGCAATTATTTTGTAAATCCGTAAAACAAATTTATAATTTCAAATTTATATTCCATTATTATAGTTTAGGATTTATACATTTCGATTTGCCCATCTTAGCTTTATTTTTCGTTGTTATATTAAAATTGATTTGGGTCGTTCTTGGATTGTTTCTTCAGGTCAAGTTTTTTCCTCAAAGCAATTACAGTCACGCTAGTCTTTTTAATTCATTATATAAGGTAATCAAATTTTTCCACGTTGAATTATGGATCTTGACGAAATCATTTCACCGTATGCATTGATTTTCCTTTTGGGAAGCCATACTAGTGGTGCAATCACGCGAGCCCTTTGAATTTTAAATGTCAACTCCCTGGGATTTGAATATATCGATTCAATAATGGCAATGTTGCCCCGAGTAACTACCATCTGCTCCCCCAGTTCTGACCGTTCTTAGAATTTACGACCGAACCCACACCTTCTCACAAATGTGGGGGATGTGATAAGTCGTCTAGTGACTTGGGCAAACAGAAGATTGCGACATGTGAGAAGGGACAGTCAGTCTAGAGGTTGGTATCTAGTATCTAGCATTTAGTCTGGCTGTTTATCAGTCTCGTTATCGCAATGGACCTGTGGAAAATGCTGCAGGCCCATGTTTGGAGACACTCTCCCGACTTGACAGATTGCTGCATATGATTTATGTCCACAACGGGAACTCGACTGTTTAGTTAGCACTGGACTAATATTTGCCTAAAGTTAGATTAAGTTTATTGACTGAAAAAGTCTGAAATGCGCTGTAAGCCAAATAAAATCGTTGCCTGCCACTTGACCCGATTGGCCATATACGCATCTTAGCCCGGCTCATCCATCCGTCGATCAATCTCATCCATCAATCATGTGTCAGCGCTGCAATTGCCCGTAATTGATGAGCTCCTCCAACTTACATACACATGTGTATTGCATTTCAGACTGAGCAAATAAGACGAGCCAACCGCCTCTTCGCCTCAGACAGCCTGTTCTTGCGTCAGTTCCTGCTAGTGCCTGTGGAGAAGAACTCGCCGTACTATCCCCAGGTGCCTGGCGATCCGATAACCGCCTTTGATGCCGTGCTGGCCACCCCGCCTGGGACTCCTGATGCTAATGGACAGCGGGAGGCGCACAACAATGCCAATAATCTGAGCCAGAGCAACAGTTTTATAAAGAGCAACGACATCAGCAGCAGTAGTAGCAGCAGCAGCAGTGGGAGCAGCAGCAGCTGCAACACAAGTGGCTCCGGTCCAAGTTCCGGAGTACCGCGATCCGGCGGCAACCAACAGCAGCAGCCCCCACAGCGGCCGTACTCCATTGCCGGGGAGTTGCTGGTGGTGCAGGCCGGAGACGAGGATCCGGAGATGATGCATGGCCACGGTGGATGCAGCGGCAAGCAGAGCAAGAGCTTGGACTCGGTGGCCGCGATGACGCCCGAGGAGGAGAACCGGAAATGCATGAACGACTTCCTCAACAAGATCGACAACACTATTTCCGAGTCGCGCAAATATGTGGAACGCTCTAAGGAGTAAGTATTCCCATGAGAATGCAAATTATTGTACAAGACATGACAGGCATATGATAAAGAGTCTTGGTTCATTCACTTATCAAAAAACGTAATCGTTATTCTACTTATTAAAAAGTTTACAATTTTGAAAATGTTATTTGTTTTCTGATAAATATTTAGGTTTCCTATCCATTGGTGTGTGAAATTGTTATTTTTGTTGTCGTTAGCAATTAGCTCGTCAGTCATCATTAAGTACCGCTTAGTTGTCAATTCTGATTTTATATTATTCTCTCTAATCAATCAATCAATTTTAAAGTTTTTTTTTAAACCATTTGAAATTGAAGTTAAAAACATTACCCATCAAGAGTTTATATGTGTGCTATTATTTTGTCCAATATTGTCAGATAAGAAGTTTAAGCGTTTAGTTGGCTTGTATAATTGCAACAAATCAATGTGAAAAGTAAAACTATATATTTTTGATTTAATGAACATAAATATCAGATCATTCTGTTTACTGTTTTACTAATCTATTATTTTATTCTTCCCATCTAGCCTGGTCAGCAGTCAGAGTGACGCTGATATCTGCATCAGCGCCAGTGCCGACGTTTTCCCGCAGCGCCGCCATCCGCTGAACAACTCCTACAAGACCAACAACAACGACCGTCCGCCGCAGTATCAGCGGCACAGTTCGACGGGCAGTGGGAACTCCTCGGATACGGCACACCTGCTGAATACGACGCAGACGAGGCGTGTCCAGAACTCGTTGAAGCGACTGGAGAAACAGCAGGACGATTTCTTCGAGTTGTAGCATCCGTCTGCTGGTCGAAATCTAGCCTAATTACGCTGAGAGTTAACTTTACAAATCGTTTTTAATTGCCGCGCATCGGAGGACTAGACTACGACGACGTATGTCAGCATGTTACATCACACAGAATGCCGCACTCTAAATGTAATATAAATAATGATATCTATCGACACGTATGCGCGATACCCTTTACCTATACGATTAAACATAAATGTAACTGAGCTAAAACCTAAACTAAACTATAAACCTAAACTAAGCGCTGCACTATGTAAACCTGTAGTACGATGACAAGGCAGTTCTGTTCCCGTTTTAGATCTTGTGTCAGCCCTGTGTAATTGCCGCCAATTTGCTTGCAAGATCCGATCTGATCTAATCCGATCCGATCCGGAAGCCTTCTGTCCTCCTGTCCACCCCTCCTGCCCCATTATGTTTACTTTTTGTATGACTCTAGCTTTAATCACACTGTGTATAATTTAGTTATGAGAATTATTAATGTTAATTGTATATAGTCGCCAGCAACACAACAATCTACTGGACTGCTCTGACCGCTAACACGAAATTGGCCATCTGTTGACGTGTAATTTTAATTTATTCTTTAGCTTTCCAAAGTATTAAAAACCGCTACTGAAAATAAATCCTGTTCTATATAAAACTATAACCTCAATTGTTAAACATCCACCATTAAAGAAAATATATATCCCAGAAACCCCAAAATCGAACTGCACTCATATCGAGCCAAGTCATGTTGTACGTGAGAATGTTTTATAAAAATAAAGTGAGAATTGTGTTGGATCAAATTGAGTGTCTTAATGAGGTGATGAGCCGCAGGAATTTGCACAAGGCGAAGCATGCGCAAACCAGGGGTTAATAACAGTCGAACTTCAATAATTAAAACTGCCCAAATTCCATTGCCCCGTATGTTTAGTGGCAGAGGGTTGGTCAAGTCAAAGAAGTCCTACTGTTCGGTTGCCAGGACAACTTAGCAGGGCAAACAAACAAAGCCCAAAAGTTAGTAAACTACATCTTATTCTGAATAAATACGAAAATGTCGGACAAAGATCTGGATGCCATTATCCTGGTGACCCAACAGGTTCTGGGTAAATATATTAAGAAACCACCACTTACAGAGAAGCTGCTGAAGAAACCCCCATTCAGGTTCCTAATGGATGTTTTCAATAACGTAAGTGGTTAACCTTGACCCATTCGCCATTCAAAAACCCAAATGAAACTTCGTTTCGTGCAGTTTATCAAGCAAACTGGCAACTTTGAGGGACTATATACGCCGGAGGAGCAGACTTTTGAGAACATAGTTAGTCGGGAGGATAAGATACGATTCCTGCAGAAAATGATCGATGCAATCAGTAGGTTTTGGTTACAATGTGAATCCTTGAATTATAGTCTGTTTGTTTTCCCACAGAGCTAAGCACTAAAATTGACCTGAAAGTGCGAACTTCAAAAATAGTTGCTGGCCAGGAGCCGGAGCTTACCAATGAGCTCCTCCAGGCGATGGCCAGTGTGGCGGAGAAGAATTTGAAGTGGGACAGCGTTGTTGACCAGGTGGTAATTGCCCATAGCAAAACACCAATTGCCATAACAAAACCCTCTAAGGAATCTAAAGCCTCGAGCAAGAATCCCTCACCCGCTGGGAAGGATGAGGATCCAAAGCGCCGAAAAGATAAGCGCATATCGCCCCAGGAGCAAAAGGTGCGAAAGGCCACCGAAACGGCATCCCGATCATCGCCCAATGACAAGGAGAAGACATCCCAGAAGAAGTCAAAGGTGACCAAGGATGACCCTAAATTAAGTCGGCAGAATTCCAAGCAAAAAAGTCCTTCACCTGTTAAGCTAAAGTCTAAGACCAAGCTGCAGTTTTCCACAGAAAGCGACAACCCCAGCATGTCCATGTCGCCAGTGCCTGGAGGAGTAGCCAAGCAGGCAGCTCCTGAAACTGTTACTGCTAATCCAGCGCCGGAATCGGTCAAAGTAAATATGAGAGATCTACATATTAAATAAAAATCTATTATTTTCCGTATTATTAAACAGACATCGCCTGCGAAACCCAAGGAACCATCGGTAGAACCTGTCCAGGAAGCATCACCGGCTCCATTGGCTCCTCCAGCAGAGCCAGAGAGTCGCAAATCCTCCGGCAGGAGTCGCCGCTCTAGTGGCAGTCATAGGCAACCGGAACCGAACCCCAATGAGAACCAATCCCAGCCAGCGGTGCAGCCGTCGGAAACTAATTCCCCAGTGGATTCTAGTGTTAGCAACGGTGAGGCGAAGCGGGAGATTCCCATCTCCAGGGAAAACTCGAAGGAAGCCAATCAACGGCCTAGAACCTCACTTAGACCCCCATCCGCTCGACCGGCATCCGCACGTCCTGGAGCTCCACGACGCCGGAATGTGGAAATCGTACTTCAACCAAACGATCAGGTCAAGATGTCTGGGATTAATGTTAAACTAGAAACATTTGGGGATCTCGACGATGATGGGGAGAACCTGGTGATCATAGAAGATGCCAACTCACATGACATTGTTGAAGGGGGAGGAGCAGAAGAACCTGCTCTGGAGGGTCAGCTAGATGCCCAGGGTCGATTGGTTCAGCAGATCTTGGAAACCCAAAAGGAATTGGTTCACCAAAATGCAGAGATTGAGCCCCCACAAAGTCAAGCATCCCGGCAGAGCTCCGCTCGTCAGGTGAATGACCTGCGCGATGCTATCCAAAGTCTTACGAAGTCAGTTAATCCACTGGGCAAACTGCTGGACTTTATACCCGAGGACATCGATGCCATGCAACTGGAGCTCACTATGTGGCGTGATACCTACACCCAAGCATCCATGGAACTAAAACGGGAGCAAAGTCTCACTGCATCCGCCACGGAACCCATGAAACACCAGCTGCAGCAAATCGAAGCCAGCATCGCCGAGTATCGCGAGCTTGTCGACGAAAGTCGCAACAAGATCCTGCAGAACAACGCCCGCATCCTTAAAATGATGAGTGAACAGTAAGAATTTGATTTCCTTATGAAATTCAAGAGATTTGTAGATTTGTGTTTACTATATTTAATAAGAGTTTTATAAAAATAGCCTTGCATTTATTGCTTGGGTACACTTTTAAATTCAAAATATATATATAAATGTATATAATAATATCAAAATATCTTTGATATGACATTTGTTGGTTTTTTGTTTTTGGGTGATTTGTAAATGTTTTATCATTTCTGGGTAATTAAATCGAACAATTCAATAACAGACGGTAAGTTTCTTTTATAAGGTCACTTGGTGTTTGAACCGAAACCGAAGTTCTTAAACCTAGCTTTCTTAAAAATATAAAATCGAGCAAAAATTTTAACTCGAATTAAATAAACAAATTTCCTCAAAACTTTTTTCGAAAACATGCCTAAATTCTAAACATTGTGCGATTCCTATTAAATTTTTTCGAAACTTTTGAAAAACATGCCTAGTTTATAATAACATGCAAATCACACAATGCATTTAAGACTGACAAGTCAAACCTTTTCTTCTTCGTTTTCTGCTGGGATCGTTTTTTTCTTATCTTCTGTGCTCAACTCCTTTTCAGTTTTCGCAGTGGCTGTCTTATTTTCTGATTTCGCTGGGACCGTTTCTTTTTCAGCATCGCCTGTTATTGTCTCTGCTTCATCATCCTCTGTGTTAGACTCCTTATCGTCCCTTTTATCCTTGCCAAACCCTACATCCTCCGAGTCCTCATCTCCCAGCACATATTCGATGACGTCGTCGATGGGGAAATTGTTGAGGAGCGACTTGATGGAATCGTTATGAATGACCACGGTGAAGAGCAGTTTGCAATACTCTCGCATCCGGCTGCCATAGTCCAGTTCAGCGTAATTTTCAGTACCTTTGGTCAAATCGTGACCACAGTTCTCGATCACCTTGCAGAGCACCATTTCCTCGGCGGCATTTGGCCAGCCGTATTTCTTCAAGATGGGTGGATCCACCAGCATGTCAATTAGCTTTCCCACGTTCTCCTTGAGTCGTAGGTCTTCCTCGGTTAGGATTTCACCTACGACATCTTCCTCGCTCGAGGCCTCCTCCAGATTATCAGCAATGGCAGCCGCCAAACTGGCGGCCAGTGATTTGCGCTGCTCCTTTTTGACCACCGGCGAGACCTTCGCCTCATCTTTTTTGCCCTCAGGCTTCACTGCAGCTTCATCCGTCAGTTGCTCTCCCTCGATGGCCCCGTCCAAAGGCAGAATTGTGTAGGTTTCGTTCTCCAGCGTAATGGTCTGAGCAGTGCCATCGCCCTCGTCCACCAAGAATTCTCGGACCACCACGCCGTTTCCATCGGTTTGACTGGAAATCAAGGATCCGGCCGAAGTATTCAGCGCCACCGGTACGACCTCCTCCACTTCTATTCCAGACAGTTTCACCTTCTTTGCGCGCTTCGGAGTCTGAGGTTCAACGCCGAAAATGTCATCTGGATCGCACTCGTGCACGGTGCGAATGTGCCTGCGAAGGGTTTCGCTGCTGTCGAAGTTCTTATCGCAAATGGCGCAATCTGTTCGCTCCATAATTTTGTTGGACGAGCGCTTGACCCGTTGTTGTTTGGCTGCACATGAAAGGATCAAGATAAGTTCCATGTATTTCTATAATCGGGCTTAACTTACGGCTGTGTTTTCCCTCATCCATATGCTCCTTGAGGAGGGCCGTCGTGCGGAAGCTCCGTTTGCATTCGGTGCAGGAAAAGACGGGACGCTTTGTGCGCGAGTGTTCCTTCACATGGCGCTCGAGTCTGCGGGAAAAACAATGCGGTAGGTTAATAAAAATTGATCAAAATTAATCTCTCACCTTTATTACTTACTGTTTTACTGTTTTGAATTTTTCCTCACACTGATCACAGGCAAAGGGGCGAATATGGGTCTTGGAATGGGTGCGCAGCTGGGTGGCCTGGATGAAGCTCTTGCCACACTCTTCACACTTGTGTGGACGCTCTCCAGTGTGACGCTTCATATGTCGATTGAGCACCTCCTTGACGGCAAAGGCTTGGTTGCACTAAAAATAAAGATTAGATTAGATTAAATACGTCTAACTAGAAAAAAATGTTGGAAAATAATGAGCTCCTTGACTTACCACAGTGCAACTGTAGGGTTTCTCGCCAGTGTGATAGCGTCGATGCTTTTTAAGTGCTACCAAAGCTGAGAACTTCTTGTCGCAAAGATCACAATCGAAGGGTTTCTCTCCAGTATGGGTGCGTATATGAATGCTGCGGGTTATAAACCATTTTAGGTAAAGAGTTATTAATAAAATACAAAACTCACTTGAGCGTGGACAGACTGTAAAAACAATTCTTGCACGTGTGACACATATACTCCGGCTTCTTTACCACCTGCGTGCCCAGGTGCTGCTTGAGATGCGATCGCAGGTTGTCCAGGCGATAGAAGACGCGATCGCATACCTTACAGCTCATAGTATCGGTCTCATTCGACGAGCACGAGGAGTACTTCTGATGGCGCTTCAGGTGGTAGGAGCGCGTAAAGTCCTTGCCGCAGATCTTGCAGGCGTACGGTTTACCACGCGACTTGTGCTGCTCCTCGTGCAGTGTAAGCAAGGCCTCACTGCGCAGGTTCGCGTTGCAGATAGAGCACGGGAAATCGCTGAACTCGGAGTGGGTAATAAAGATGTGACGTTCGTAGCTGGTCTGCGTCTTAAACGACTTTGGACAGTCGGGACAGTTGATGTGGCCCAGCTGTAAAGCGAAGCAAGATTTTAAGAACAGTATTATTTATTAGATATTTTTTCAAACTCACATGAAAGGTGTCGTAGCTTTCGCTGCAGCAAAAGCAGATATCCTTCTTTTCCATCACCACGGCATCCTTTTCGATCTTTTCCAGGTTCTTAAGCATGTCCGCTTTGCGCAGATGATAACCACTGTCGTAGCGGCAGAACTCCAAATGCTTCTTAAGACTCTGAACCCGTCGAAAGGTCTTGTAGCACTTGCCGCACACGTGCTCCACGATCTCCTTGATCTTTCCCACGTGGGTGGAGATTCCCTTGGAATCCTCCCCATCCTCGTCGCCATCTTCTTCGTCCTCGTCACCCTCGGTCACGACGATCTCCTGACCATTGGTTTCCTCAATTCTTCCTGGCACCACTTCCTCATCCTCGGCCAAAATAAAAGCAATGGTATCCTCATCTTCTTCGATCGCCGTCGTGACCACCTTGCTGTTTTCAGTTTTTACAGCCTGGAGTACATAGTGATCCATTTTTTTCCGTTTACTAGGCGAGGTCTTGATTTTGGCAGTTTCCACAGCCGTTGCGGTGGCGCTGGGAGCCCTTTTATCATTTAGAATCTTGACGGTGGAGGCGGCTGGAGTTGTGCTCTTCGTGGAGCCTCTTTTTTCCGCCTTTGGAGTGGCCAGTATTTCCTCATTGAGTATTTTAATGCGTGATCCCGCGATACTTCCGCGTTTATCCTGCTTAGTTGTAAGGCTTTTAGATGTGGTGATCGAGGCCTCAGGATCTGCACCTGCTCCAACGTCGTTCAAGAGCTTCATCCTGGTCGCAGGACGCCTCTCCTTGGGTGGCGAAACATTCTCCACGCCAAGAATCTTGACCTTCTTTTCCTTGCCCTCCTTGGAGGCGCTCATCTTGGAATTGACAGCCTGAAATTGGGATATAATCGAAATGATCGAGGAATATTTCCAGGATCAATTATCCCCGGTTTTAGCCTACTTTTAGGCACGTGATCTATTAAAAACCAAATTTTGCCAGCGTCACCAACACACGCCCAAAAGAAGCAAAGAAAAAATGGCGGCTCTTTATGATCGATCGAGAGAGCGTGACTGAGATAGCACTACAGCCGCCCTGACGCACAGAAAACGCAACAAGTTTTCTTCTTAAATAAAATTGTATTCAAAGGGGTTGAAAATAATTCTAATACACACTGAAATCCGTTGCATACTTTTCAAATATTTCATGTTTTTTGTACAGTTAAAGGATGATGTGATGGCAAATGGTTATTTTTTTAGTTAGCCTTGCAATTCTTCTCTCCGCAATGAAAGAAAGTCACAGTGATCGGCACAAAAAAAAAGGGAAATTGCTAAGTCACTAGCTATTTTCTTATTGTCTTCACTCTTTTGTATAAACAATCAATGTGTTCTTAACAGGATTTCGAGCTTAAAGCCGATAAACAATCACAATTTACCTAATTTTATGCTTTAAATTCCAACACGACGACAAGCCACTGTGTATAAAAAGGCAAGGCAGTGTGGCCGACCGATCACCGATTTAAAATACCAGTGAACTTAAAAAATATACTAAAGAATTCAAGTATATACGGAATATACTATAATATTAAACCATTCTCTCGTTTTTAAATGTTTTGTATTTTTTTTTAAACGGCGCCGCAAATAAGTAAGCATAAGTCTTTTTTCCTATTTATTTTAAAATCAGATATTGATAATAATATAAATCCTTGCGCTACATAAAACAGTAGTTTTAAAAAAGTACTGTCTCAGTTATATTTTGGTATATTTTTTCTATGTTTTATGGTATAGTTCGGCAGAATTAGAACGGTTACACTACCTCTAATTTCCGCGTAAAAAGGTAAATAAGAATGCGGAAAATGCTTTAAATGCAATAAATAGCAATAATTAAAAGTTAATAGACACCATGACGACTGCCTTTGATGCTGCACACACGGAGGGACCCGGATTCGTGGGCATTCGTTTCTGCCAGGAGTGCAACAACATGTTGTATCCCAAGGAGGACAAGGAGAATAAGATCCTGCTGTACGCCTGCCGGAATTGCGATTACAAGCAGGAGGCGGATTCCAATTGCATCTACGTGAACAAGATCATGCACGAAATCGACGAACTGACGCACATTGTGCCGGACGTGATATCGGATCCCACGTTGCCGCGCACGGAGGACCACGCGTGTCCCAAGTGCTCCCACCGGGAGGCGGTCTTTTTCCAGGCACAAACACGTCGCGCCGAGGAGGAGATGAGACTGTACTACGTCTGCACCAACCAGAACTGCACCCACCGATGGACAGAGTAGGTGCGGATGTTGTGCCCACCGCCTGTAATTGTAGCCCTAAGTAATAAAACCAATATAGCGACACTTTGCAATCGTAAATCTCATCTCATTTATTGATCAACAGTCGATTGCCGCTCAATGAAATACAACCACAGAGAAAGAAAAATTTATACGATAGCAGTGACTATCACCTTGACAGTTTTACATATTATTTTTGATTTGTGACAAATTTCTAGTACATTTCTATTTGTTGACAAAATAATAAGAAAAAGTAACCGGATCTTTTGTTAGCAGAGGCAATAGCTATAAAATCTTACTTTATCAATAGACGAAACCATCCAATATCATTCTTAAGTGTTGCATCCAATTTTAATCTTAAATTATAAAACAAGTTTAATTAAAATTAAAGCTGTGTATTTCAATTCGATATCGAGCTGATTTTTTCTGTGTACGACAGCAGTAGTAGAGAAAACCATTTAAAGTAAATATCAGTTAAGACGATCATTCTAATGCGTGCCAATAAACTATGAAAAACTCAGTTTTTTAAGCGAATCTAAAACTATTTTTTTTTGTTTAAGTTTTGATTGTTTTTTGCATGCGGAAACATTCATGTATAATAAAAAATAAGTTTTTAAAGAGTTTAGCAGGTTTCGGCACATATTTAAGCGTAATAAACTTTAAAACCTGATTTCATATGTATGACGTTCATGAAGCATTGTTCCGAATTTCTACGATATATATTATAAAACCATTATTTATTTTATAAATCGCAGAGAGTTTAAAAATTTCAAACATGAATTTCGAGTATTCTTGAGATAAAGTTGATTTACACGTTTCTTTACTTTATAAAAATTATTATGCGATATCCACTGTAAATGTAACTGAGCGGGAAATGAATCTCGCCGGAGCACATGTCAACCCAGTGACAATTCTTCATATTTATCATTGTTCTGCTCTAATCGAAGCTGACAAACACAAAAAACAACCGAAAGCAGCGAAGAAATGATTGAACAAGTTTCTTGTGCGTATCAAGCGGCTGGCCATTTGAGTGGACTTGGCCCGATCCGAAGTCGTCGCTAAGTTTAGTCTGAGCTTAGAACTTGGTGCGACGTGTTGATCAAATCGCTGAAATGTGCTAGAGCTATCTCCGAATCGAATAAAAAAAGTTAAGGGGAATCAGCAAGTGCTATTAAAAAAAAAAATGGCAAAGCCAAGGTCGTCGGTGGAAACGGCGGGCAATGGAAATGGAATGGATCCGGAGCCCAAGCTCAACTACTTCCAGAAATTGTGGCGCTATCGCCACTATCTGGTCATCGAGCCCTTCTTCTTTTTCTACTTCATGGCCTCCGTGTTCAATGCGGTGGCTATGCAGAATTTCCCATTGGACAAGGCGTGTCGAGTGAATCTGGGATACAACAAGATGGTCTGTGACACGATGCTGGACAAATCGGAGCTGGGCATCGAATGCGATGATTTCGACTTTGAGAACACCACCCAGGGCGCCACTCCGGATCTGGCTGGCCTGGTGATCGGAGCCACAGGGTTCAACTATACGGTCTGCAAGGCGGAACTCGAGGCCCAGATCCTCGCTGCAGATGTCTCCGGCAAACGTGCTCCGATGGGTAAAATACTCACATATATCATATACATAACACGAGTCGTTCATTAAATATACGCGCTTGGGGTTTGGCATTAGCATTGCTTAAATTTCAGGTTTGTGCTTAAATTAAAACTCGAATTCTTTTCGCATCTCAACTCCTCTGCATATTAAATCTCGCCTACCCCTTGGGATTTATGTCCAAATGCTGGGTGCACCGGAAAAAACAATTGAATATTATTTTAACAATGATTCAATGATTGGCCAAATATAGCAATTAAAGGTTGATTATAATTGCATATCAGTGTAAAAATAGAATACATATCAATGCAGAATTATATTTAAAGATTTTAATGTAATCAATTCATTTTTATATAAGTCTACACTTTTTTTAAATTTACAAAAAAAGTCAAAATTAGATGATTAGATGACCAATGTACTTTTTAAAAATCGTTTTCTTTATTTGTTGTATTTCTTCCTGTGTATGTTTTTTTTAAGAAAAGAATCTATGTCTTTTGATGGATGTCGTTGGAAATTAGCGGTTATCCGAACATCTAATTACCTTCTTTAATTGATTCGCTCATGAGTTCTCTTTCGCCTTCTGATGGTGCTAACAAAAATTCCCCTATTATATTGTTGGGTGATTAATTTAGAGCCGCTTTTAAAGGCCTTAGCCTAGTGGCTGGATAGTAAATGTAATCGCTCCAAACCTGTTCCTTACATCGATGTGTTTTGAGTGACTTTCGTGGGTTCACTGCCATTGTCATGGCATTTTCATTCGAACCATAGATAATATTTTATATTCCCAATTTAGCAACAACGCCATCCGAAAATGTCATTTGCATAGAGATACGCGGAATTCCGGTTCTCTGTGGCAGAGAACGTCTTCTTGTTTAATAACTCTAACAAACGCCAGGTTCATTAAAATGCATTGCATCAGAGATCGATAATTGAGACTTAAAATAATTAAAGCGTCATGTCATAAATTCCATGTTGTAATTTTATAGTATAACTATTCAAGGCTTTTGTAGTTTAAATGCATGCTTTCGTTTGATATTATTTTATTGTGATAACAAGTTCTAATAAAAACACAATTTTTTACCGTCAAACCTTTAAATCATCTTCAAGAACTCTCAATACTCGAATTGATTGTATTATTGGGAATAACAAACAATAGGATTTAAAAGTGGCTCATTAAGATGAACAATAATTTAATAATACAATTATCAAGTTATAAATAAAGAAGATAACTTATGAAGATAACTTTAAGTTTGAATTATAATCCAACTAATTTAGTGTTGAAGATTTAAGAGATTAAATTTAGAATCTGAATAAATATAATTTAATTACTCATATTTATCACTTATGAAACTTTTTTTATATTTTAACTTTGAACAACGATTGAGTAGTCCTTTTTATCAAGCTATACCATACAATAGTTAATTAAAGGTATAAATTATTAATAAAATGTGAGCTTGCTTTTATTAAACAGATTATTTTCAAGAACGAGTTATTTTTGTTAAATATTTTAGCACGCCAAATCCAGTTTTATATTCTAAACAGTGCGTCGAAATGTGCCAAAAATTATTACTTTCGCATATAGTAAATTATTCTAAATATATTCAAACTCGATTATTAATAAAAAAATTACTATATGTATAATATGTATAAAACAGCTGCCATTTTCCCACTGATTGTGCTCCTATTCGCCGGAGGATGGGCAGATCGGTACAACAAACGTAAACCCTGTATGATAATGCCTATCATCGGAGAGGCACTATCCTTTACATGTGAGTAGTTTAACTTCCAATAAAAGATACATTATTAATTTAATAAATATTGAACTGTTTTAGGTCAAATCATCTCTTCAATTTTTTTCGATTCGCTGCCCATGGAGTTTGGTGCTTACTGTGAGGCCATCGTTCCGGCTCTTTTCGGTGGATTGACCTTCTGTCTGATGGCCATTTATAGTTACATCACCATTGCCACTCCCGAGGAGGACCGAGTTTTCCGCTTTGGCATCTTTGCTATGTTCGTCACTGGAGTTCCATTTATAGGTATTTTTAGTCGTCGAATTATGGTTTGAAAAGAAATTTAAATGATTTCTTTCGTAGGTCAACCGATTAGTGGAGTTCTCTTCACCACCTTGGGCTATACATGTGAGTATCATTTGCTTAGGGCTGTTAAAAATTATGACCTAGCACCATAAATATTTCACCAGATATTTAGAAACCATTTCGTTCGTACTTAAATTTTAACATCTGCGTAAAAACGTTTTAATAATTCTTGTTGTTGTGGCTGATCATTTGGAATTGGACAACTTATTTAGTTTAAATATAAAAATTTATATTAATAATAAGTTTTGTTTGTGGCATTTTCTATAAGCCAATAGAGTAGTTTATTCATTTCTTATAAGATTACCATATTGTTTCATAGTTTAGGCTGAAAACTGATTTCTTTTAAATTTCTTTTTCAGGGTCCTTTGCGACAGCTATAGTTTTCCAGCTGATTGCGATATTTTACATTATTTTCTTCATAAAAGAGGTGAAGACCACTCCCACAACTGCCACAAACGGCGCCCAGCCAAATGAGCCACCACCTCTGCCCACTACTTTGCCACCAAAGCGGGGTACGGATAACATGGCCTACGAGACCACGAACATCGATGAACAGCAGGGAAACAAGAACGTTAACTTCCAGCTTACTCCACATATGGAGCCGAAAGTGGAGGTGGTGCCTCCGAAACGATCCCTGTTGAAGGAACTGTTCGATCCCACCTTGGTGCTGGACTGCATCCGTTTTCCGCTGATCAAGCGACCAAACAACGGACGCATGCTGCTGATCCTCCTGCTGTGTGCCTACTTCCTGACCGTGGGTCCCACTTCCGGGGAGAACGACTACTGGTACCGGTTCACCCTCAAGAAGCTCGCCTGGAATGGCAACGACTTCAGCATATACCTGACCTTGTCCAGTGGTGCTGCCCTGGTGGGCACATTTATTGGCACCGCCATTCTGAGCAAGCTGCTCAAAGTCTCCGACTCCATGATCGGAATGCTCTCCGCTTTGTCCATTGTCTGTTCCCGAGTGCTTTTTGTGAGTAATTAAATGGGATGTAGATTAAGATCTTAAACTAATTATGTTTTGATTTTGGCAGGCTTTCTCCAGCACCACTACCTCGTTTTACGTGGCTGGAGTGGTGGACATGTTCGTCAGTTTGCGAGTGATAGCCATCAAGACCATCGGTTCCAGCATCGTGGCAGGCGATGAACTGAGTAAGTCAATAATGATTTAAAAATTATCTGTTGAAATTATAATCTTAAGATCACCTAAAGTACCTATTGCAGATATACTAATTACTAAACAGTAAAGCCTGTTTAAATAAGTAATAAATTTTAACTTTATAGATACCTTTTCTAAGAAACATAACCTTCAGATTTTTCATATTTTAATGTCATAAGATTAAATTTTTTCTTAACTGCTTAGAAGTTATATTAACTTAAATTATTGTTTAATTTCAGGCAAAATGTACTCAATCTTTGGCATCAGTGAGCCAATTGCCCAGTTTATTTTCCCGCCCATCTTCAGTGAGATCTACAAAAGTACGGTTGACTCATTCCCAGGTGCCATTTGGCTGTTTGGCGAAATCTTCTATATTCCCAATGTGTTGGTCTTTGTGTAAGTATTTCAATACTAATTTTACCCCTTTTGGATGCCAATTAAACACTCTTTTAAACCGTAGTGTGTGCTATTTCCTTCTGAAGCGTCGAAAGGCCAATGAGGAAAAGAGTGCCGTGGAACTGGAACAGAATGGTGCAAATGGTGCCAATCGAGCAAATTTACCCGATAGCGAAATAACTAGTCTATAGTGTAATTAATGTCAGACCGTGTTATATATTTTTTATATTTATAATATAAATTGTATATTTTTGTATATTTATAAACAATGTTTATATTTTGTAAATAATTGCAAGAGATCTACATAAGTTAATGTACTTCCAGATGTGCTCTGAAATATAGGAGCTTAAAATCACTCCTACAGTATGCAAAAAATGTATAATAATTGTAAAGGTCGATAAAAACTTGAGTTTAATTCCTTGTTATTAACAATGCAAAGAACTAGTCTATAACTTAATTAAAATCCTTTGCTTGAAAATGAGTTTTTATTTCCATACATGTGCTATTTTTGGTAAATCCCCGTAGAATCAATTACCTGGGGCAATGAAAAGGTGAGCCAACTCCGATTCGGACACTTCACTCCCTCCGGCAATGGGCGCAAATTACTTTTTTCGGCCAGAGTATTTTTAGTTTAAGCCTTTTCCTTCTGTACCCCGCCTCTTGTTTTTTTTCGTGGTGAAAGTGGTAGTTTTCCAATCAGCAAATGCATTCAGTTTGAGCAGCCAGCTGGCCCAATGTGGGCGGTGGCAGGGGCAGGGGTAGTGGGCGTGGCCATATGTGGGAGCTTGAAACAATTGGGTGCTAATAATCCCCGGTTAATCTGCGTAAGTGTGTGTTTCTGGGGGCATCGAAGCAAGGATTCTGGCTGAAAGACATCACGCATCCTTTGGCATCTATGTTTTACGGCCGAACACTCATATAAAAGCCCGGCGAGGAGCATCAAAATCTCAGACGCAGTTGTGGTTTGAACGCGAAAGGACCCTATTCCAATCGAGAGTCCTGAAAACCTGACTAACTTCTGGAGAAACATGTTGCGCCTCCTGCTGCTGCCACTCTTCCTCTTCACCTTGTCCATGGCTTGCATGGGCCAGACCTTTCAGTACTCCCGCGGCTGGACAAATGGCAAAAGGGCTCTGAGTCCTGCATCACCGCTCCTGGCAAACGGCCATTTCCATCGAAGCAACGAGCTGGGATTCACGGATCTGTACGATCTGCAGGATTGGAGCAGTGAGCGTAAACTGGAGCGGTGAGCTTTATATAGGTCAAAGTGAACTATCACCAACACCTTGCATAAATAATTTTTTGTATTAATCAAGTTTTTGCTAATTTAAAAGTTTTTTTTTAAATTTAAATTCAAATATATTTTTTTACCTATTCAGTATAAAAAGCTCTCACTGGAAATATCGTAAAACAATTAAGTATTAATTTATTGGTTTAAAAGTTCTAAAGTTTTTAAGTTTTCAATACATCTGAACTTTGTTAATGTAAAGAGATTTTCAAGTAATTTTTAAGCCAGCAGAATCTTACATTCAAAAATAACAATATGTAAAGATTTTGTAATAGCTTCATTTAATAGTTTAACATAAAAATATCGATTAAAAAATAATTAAAGATAATTTTTGTATTTTTTCTCTCAGGTGTCTGTCGCAACTCCAGAGATCATTGATTAGTCGAAATTGTGCCCCGGGAGCGGACTTTAATGCCAACCGAGCTGATGCGGAACCTGAGAGCAACCCTCATCCCAGACTAAACAACCTAAATAATGAAAATGTTTTATACTCAAATGCCAATATCCCGAATAGGCATCGTCAGTCGAACGAACTGCTTGATGAACTGAGTGCAACTGGTGGAGCTTCTGCCGAACCTAATTTGTTCGGAAAACATTAGATATAATCTCTGGAGTCTATTGAATGAGAACACTATAGTTAAACTAGCAAAAAATGCTACAAAAATGTAAAAAAAAATTGTTGTAAATGTTAAATTAAACGGAGGCTTTTATGAATATCTTAAATGTCTTTAATTAATAACCAATACTTGTCAAGACAACGAATTAACAGACAACTTAAAACAGACAAAACAGTAATTTAGTACATATGGTCCAAATACATTTTATTTACATATTAATAATATGATATATATTCTTTGACAATGGATTTAGTTGTTTCTTTCTGCCGAATTGTCTTTAAAATGGGTGATTGTGAGATAAAAATATTTATTAAATTACAAATCATGAAACGCACCAAGAATCTGAAAAATATGAAATGATTTTTAAATCTTGTTATTTTAAACTAATGAAGAAAAAAGTGCATTATCTACAGTTCAATAAGGACACAAAGAAAATGGCCCAAGATAAAAATTTGCGTTGTAAATGTAGATTTACAAAACATTAATTCTTAAACTCTTGGAAACTAAAATTAAAGTGTAATTTGAATACCAATATCCTAAAAACTATATGTGGTTAACAAAGTTAATTAAAATAATTATTAATGTATTTTTTCTAACGGAAAAATGGCTCCAAACTAATTACGACCCATTTGAAAATGTCTACGTATTGCTCAACACTGGCAATATACCAAAACGTTCGGAAAATATACTAAATTTAGTATAAAATGTATGGTACTATTCTTAGGTAGTTTTTACAATCGATAGTATCGATAAGGCCTAGGTATTGGTCCACCACTAGTACCGACGCAAATCAAGGAAGAACCAAAAAGTTTGCGGAAAAGTGCAACAATTAATTTCCCCCGCCACCAAAATGCATATGCATCCGATTAAAATGCACTGCGTATGACGACAGTTTTCCGATCGAGGTGAATTCCGGGGACTTTCAATATTTTCTGCCCTTCCTCTTTCGCTTGCTTCGCACAACACAACAACAACAATAACGACGGGCGACGTTTTTTTCAGTGGCGAAAACTGTACGCAAGAGGGGCGAGAAGAGGAGAAAAGTGCAAAGAAAGAAAGAGAAAAAAAAAACACACATGTAATGTGCAAATGTTTTATGAGTTCTACGTTTTTTTGCTTGTGATTTCAGCTAACTGCAGTTTGGTTTTTCCTCGTGTGCGTGTGCGAGTGGGAAAAACGCGTGTCCAGGAAAAACGCGCCAACGAGAATAAGATTACTACCGCCCACTAACTGCGCCCGCCTTTCGATCACGCGCGCCTATTTTCCACTCTTATTAAATGATAATGGTGCGCAGACGACAACGGCCCGCCAAGGAACCCACTTCCTCCTCCGGCGGCGCCTCATCGGGATCAGGACTTCCGGTCGACCAAACGTTGCCCCTGAATGTGGCGGGAAATCTGCTGGAGGATCAGTATTTTGCCAGCCCGAAGCGGAAAGACTGCCGACTAATGAAGGTCAACGAAAATGGACAGCTGCCGGAAGCCACAATGGCCCACAAAGGCCACCACAAAGACAACAAAGCGGGTCGCACAATAGGTAGGTGTCTCTGTTCTTTTTTTTTGAGGTTATCTTCTGTAGCTAAAACCCCTTGTTCTCGCTGTTTTGCAGGGGTACCTTTGGCCACCCGCTCGCAAACGCGCACCATTGAGAACTTTTTTAAAGCCAATGCTGCCGTCAAGGATGCCCAAAAGACAATACCCACAGAGGAACAGGAGCTAGAATTGCAGAATGATCAGCTAAATCTGCAGGGTGAGCAGCTAAACCTAGAGGACGAGGAGCTAAATCTGCAAGATGAGCAGCTTCAACATACGGTTGAACACCTGCCCTTCGCAGATGAAGAAGATGCTAAGGCAGAGCAAAAGCTGAGAGACGAGGAACTGCAGCAGGTGGTGGAAGAGCTGCTGTTCGATGGCAGCTCCAGAGCCTCCTCAGACTCGCCCTGTTATCGGCATGAAATGGAAGCCATGCAGGATATCCCGGAAATCCCTCAAATCCCCCACATCAAAGAGATCAGCGAGCCCCACGAAGGACTGGGCTCCCTGGCCGACTTTCAGACACATCGCTCCGCACTGAGGGACAGTCATAGTTCCACGCACAGCAGCAGCACCGACAACATCTTCCTGCAGGAGCCCGTGCTGACCCTGGACATAGACCGCACGCCCACCAAAGCCTCCAGCATAAAGATCAATCGGAGTTTTGAACTAGCGGGAGCCGTGTTCTCATCTCCCCCATCGGTGCTAAATGCCTGCCTTAATGGGCGCTTTAATCAAATAGTAAGCCTGAATGGTCAAAAGGAACCGCTAGCTGGGCCGAATTTCGATTTGGATCAGCACGACAGCAGTTCCTGTGACAGCGGCGTGGCCTGTGGCCTCACTGCCAACACAGAATCGCCAGCAGGAGCAGTTAGACGCCGGAAGCCAGCCACTCCGCATCGTATACTGTGCCCCTCACCCATCAAGACGGGTCTGAAGGTCACCGGAGGAATTTGCAAGGTCGGATCCTCAGATCCGCTGTCGCCGCGCAAGTCGCCAAGGAAATTGCCCGTCACCACAGCGGCGGTGGCCGCCTGCAAGTCGCGCCGAAGACTGAACCAGCCAAAGCCACAAGCGCCTTACCAGCCACAGCCACAGCTACAGAAACCACAGCCACAACAGCAGCAGCAGGATGATATCGTAGTGGTGCTAGACGACGACGATGATGAGGAAGAGGACGAGGACGATGTACATGCCCTGCTCAAAGCCGCCGAAGAGCGGGAGAACCAGAACAAAGCACCAGCCACAGCCAACAGCAACAAAGCGAGCATGAAAACCATGCTCAAGCCAGCGCCCGTAAAATCAAAGACCAAAAGCAAGGGCTCATCAAAGAGCCAACCTCCGCTGCCCTTGGCGGCCACCAATGGCAACCGTGAGATGACAGACTTCTTCCCGGTCCGAAGGAGCGTACGCAAGACGAAGACAGCTGTCAAGGAGGAATGGATGAGGAGTTTGGAGCAGGCGGTCCTCGAGGAGCGTTGCGAGGGCCTCCAAGTCCGCCACTTTATGGGCAAGGGAAGAGGAGTAGTCGCCGAACGGCCCTTCAAACGGAACGAGTTTGTGGTCGAGTATGTGGGAGATCTTATCTCCATCAATGAGGCAGCCGATCGGGAGAAACGCTATGCGCTAGACGAGAATGCCGGGTGCTATATGTACTACTTTAAGCACAAGACCCAGCAGTACTGCATCGATGCCACGGTCGACACCGGCAAGCTAGGACGTCTTATCAATCACTCGCGTAACGGCAACCTTATGACCAAGGTGGTGCTCATCAAGCAGCGGCCTCATCTCGTGCTCCTGGCCAAGGACGACATCGAGCCGGGCGAGGAACTGACCTACGATTATGGGGATCGCTCCAAGGAGTCGCTGCTGCACCATCCCTGGTTAGCCTTTTGAGGAAGAGCTTTCCAGGAGCTCGCGAAAGGGGATGCGGTTCAGCCTTAAAACAAAGACTATTTACCATGTTCGAGGCATACAATCTTTAACATAAGACCAGGGCGAAACTGGTTTTTGGCTCGAGGGATTCCTTCTTAGCTTTTATACGTAGATTGCCACGCCTTGAATCATAACAAAATTGTTTTTAGCCCTGTTCCCATTGCTATTATTTGTCGGAATTGGATTTACTTAATAATTTCCGTTATTCTTGGTACGACCAATTTAATCAATTTTAATTCCGGCAATTTAAATCAGAGTGGAACAAAGAACGCGGCCTGTTTTGGGCATCCCCGAGCTTAGATCTTATTTGAGGAAAAGTATGAAAACTGTTAGTTCAAAATATCATAACGGATAGCGGCACCCACACACCCCTCACTATACGGTGGCTCTGGCTAGGGAAGGATAGTAATCAATGTAAATTCTAACAAGTTTGCCTCAGAAATTGGTCTAATGTCAATTTCGGTCTTTTCCGTTTCCTAAAGACGTTACAAAACAAGATGCAACTTTCCTTGGTTCATTAATATAATCGAAATTAATTAATAAGAACAAAATCATCAAAAAGACCTAGACTTTAGAGATTGTAAATTGATATTAGACCCATTATCCCAAAAGCAAAATGCCTTAAAATTGTACGATTACGATTCACCCCTAAGATTCCTTGACCCACCCGTGCCCCACACACTCATGAGCATAATTATTTGGATTTGTTAGCGTTTCATTATGTTAAAGCAAGGCTAAAGTTAAGGAGAGATAATAATAATAATTAAAAACAACGCGCTTAAGCATTAAGGCATCTTAAGATAATTGAATGAAAAAGAAAAACTGTTGACCATTTAGAGAGATGATGATGATTTTCATGAAAATGTTAATGAAGACACACATTCACATTGATAAAAATCGATCGAACACTATTTATAGATATTTATATTAGATACATGTGTAATTTCTAACTATTACGTACTATTTACTGCCATAGAGCTATACATCCCCTCGCACCTGCCCCGAACCCCTAGGAACTGACACGAAATCGTTGATTTAAATCATAGACACACTCATTAATTCACGAGGCTTCTCCAGGAGAGTAGTGGACTGCTGGACACCTAGTGCTTCAATTTACGAATAATCTCTCTACTCACACGCAGGTTTCAATCACACACTCGTAAACCCATATTTTATACATACTTAATTATAGAAACCCTCGCCCCCGTCCCACAAATCCGGCTTCTATATTTTAGCGACAGAAAGTTCAATTTTTGTGTTGTCCCACCCCTTACCCAGATATATGTATTTTAATGAATGCTCCAATATTGATGGATTTCGTTTTTCAAATAGGTTTATTTTTATCTGCGCATATCTTTTAATTATACAATATGGTAAATATATTTGAATATGTTCTAGTACATAGTTAATTCATTTATTTAAATCAAGCAGCAACCATCTATAATCATGTTCTTGTTTTTACCTTTTTTCAATGACTTGGCAAAATAAAACAAAACAAATGGAAACCTATTTGTAATTTACATTTAAGTCTAAAAACATATGATTACATCAAACACTTAGTTTTAGTTGATAATTGTTTATAATTTTCAGACACACACGCAACACACACACATTCAACTTAAAGTGCGTAACATAAAGTAAAATAAATAAATGAAAACACATTAACACGAAAAAAACAATAATCAAGAACTGGAGCGGATTGGGTTTCGTTTTCCAGCGATTTTCTGGAGATCATCATGGCAAACAGACACACTCATTTACACTTGGAATGCACGGGAATTCTTTTATCAAGTTACAAATCCTATTACATTTACAACGCTAACTATTGTTAGCTTGGTTAGATCGTTTTTTTTTTGTTGGTTTAAATATAGAAAAATTTGGGTTGGGTTTTCTTCAATGTGGTGGCCAGCTCTCGCTTTCGAGTATTTTTTGAGGGAGTTAAAAAAAGGGAAGTTCGTCTGTGGAATGCTTTCTAGCTTTCGGTCCTCAGATTGGTGGAGTATTCTCACTTTGCTAGCCAATGTTTGGTGCGGATTTTGAGTTTATTAAAGCTAAAAATCTTCTTGGAACATTCTTTTAATTAGTGATTAAACAAACTTATGTTTTCCACATAATAAAGATTTTATTTATTTCAATATACAAAGTTTTAGGTTAATTTATATGATTTCTTGATAATACAGTCATGGGTTTTTCATTTCTCTGATTAATCATTGAATATAAAACGAAATGTGATTTGTTAAAAATGATAAGCTAGCTGTTTAATTGTTTATTTTCTTTAAAATTATTGTTTCCCATTTCTAGGAACTTAAGTGACCCAAAACATTTCCGGTAGCCTTGAAATTTTGTCTATAGCTTTCTTTCAAATTTTTGGACAGAAAGAAATACCACATTCCTCTTATTTTTTTCTTAAACATGAAAATCCGACATAAAATTTGTTTTTAATTAGTTATTTTCCAGCTACATTATCTACATATTCAAAAAGTAAATAAAACGGTATTGACTAAAAAAAGATGACTCTCACAAAATAAGCCAATTTAAATTGGTTTTAATAGAATTCAAGAGTTAATAGAGAAAAGGATTTTCATAATCAGACCTTATTGAATTCAATCCATTTCTAACCCCTGTAAATCCAACTGCAAAGCGCAGATAGAATATCAACCGAGAAAAAGTACCGTCTGATCATTGGAATATCCCAGTTCAAAAAGTTTCCCTGCCGGCAACATAGAAGAATCGATCCAAAGTCAGTCTTAGTCACTGCCATGCCATGCGATTAGATTACCGATTGCTTACTACTTTGATCTCGAAACGATCAGTTTTGTATAGGGTCTGAAATCGAGCAGTTCGTCGGCACGAAGAATAAATTCATTTAAATCAGCACCAGATAAGAAAAATGGCGAGCAAAGGCAGTGAGTTGTGATCACTCCTCGTCCTTAATTAAAGAACTGATCTTATGATTCCTCTTCCAGATATCCTGCTACTATTAATGGGTCACCTTCTGGTTGCCCACACTTTTGAGGTGAACCTCAGTAGTTATCCAGGCACCTTCAGCTACATGGACCGCTTCAGTGCCAAACTCTTCCAGAAAATCGCGAAGTCGAGCCAGGGTAACGTCGTCATCTCCCCCTCTCCGTGCACGCCCTGCTGGGCATGATCTATGCGGCATCGGCTGGCGATACTTTGCGGGAGCTGCAACAAGTCGGGGAGTTCGGCAAGAATCCGACTGATGTGGCCCTGGACTTCCAGCGGCTGGTCAAGGTCAAGGATAATCAGCAGGGTGCCGAGCTGGCAATAGCGATGAGGGTTTACTACAACCAGCAGCTGGCTGGCATTAATCCCAGGTATGAGCAGTTTGCCAAGATCCACTATAACGCCAGCACGGTGCCCGTCGACATGAGCAACGGCGAGGAAACGGCCACCAAGATTAACTCCTGGGTGGCGGACAGCACTCGGAACAAGATCCAGAACTTGGTCTCGCCCGACAGCATTACATCAGAAGTGCAGGCCATACTGGTGAACGCCGTGTATTTTAAAGGCATCTGGGCGAAGGATTTCCCAACAATCGCCACGCACCCCGCCGAATTTCACCACACTGACGGCAGAACTTCCCAGGTGGATATGATGTATAATAAGGATTTCTTTCGCCTGGCCTATTTGCCCGAGCTGGACGCCACCGCACTGGAACTGGCCTACAAGGACAGTGCCACCAGCATGCTGATCCTGCTGCCCAATCGGCACGATGGACTGGCCGACCTTGAGCAACAGTTGGCCCGGCCGGAGTTCGATCTTAACCGGATCGCACTCCGTCTTCGCAGCCAGATAGTTGAAGTGAGCTTACCGAAGTTCCGGATCGAGTTCAAGCAGGAAATGAACGAACCCTTAAAGGAGCTGGGTCTTCACGAGATGTTCTCGGCCAGCTCGCAGGTGATCAACTTGCTTGATCAGCCGGTGCACGTTACCCAGATCATGCAGAAGGCCTTCATAGATGTGGGCGAGGAGGGAACCGAGGCCTCGGCAGCTACCTGTAAGATATCACCCACTTTCCTCCCCGAAATCCATTACTAATAATTCTCTCTCTTAGTTGCGATGATTGAGTTTAGGTCCTTTTCTCCTCCTAAACCCAAGTTCGTTGCCAACCGGCCGTTCGTTTTTGTCATCCGCACTCCCAGCTCAGTGCTCTTCGTGGGTCACGTGGAGGATCCAGGTCTGAAATGAATCAAAAGCCGATGTCTGCAACCGACAATAGATGGCTTTATTTCCGAAAAGAGGCAATAAAGTTTTTTTTATGTTTTCTAATAACGAAGCAAGTAAGAGGACTGGCCTCAATTTTGCAACATAAAGGAGGAGAAGCACGTAACTTAGTAAAACATATTGCTTCCCAATTGGCTTTAATAGCCTAACGCTATTCTTTATTTCTCTTGGCTGCGATCAGTTTGATCCATGACTAATGCACATTCACCACTAGGTAAAATGGATATGGAAACTCGTCAATCTTGGAAAGAGTATACGGTGCCTGTAACGACTGGCTAACCGAAATTTAGTCTGAAATCCTATTACATTTGACCCATCTAAACCTATGCTTGAAAGGGTGATGCCACTCAAAAAGGGTTTGTCGGTAGTTTGAACAGCAGCAACCGGGTTTGGAAAATTTAATTTTGACAGCTGTCGGTCGCCATGGGTATGGCTTATAGGAAGTGGTCATTTTGTCACCGAAACAACAAAGCCCGCTGTACGACCAATGACTTATAGTCCAGCCATTGTCCCAAGCGATTACCCTCTGCTCTATGCTAAATTTTTTCGATGGGCAGATATTGAGTTTAAAGGAGCCTTGTGAAAATTGAATTGCCGAGTTTTTTACCAATAGGGCACGAGGCTTCTCCAGGAGAGTAGTGCTTCAATGTACGAATAATCGCAGGTTTCAATCACACAGTCACTCGTAAACCCATATTTTATACATACTTAATTATAGAAACCCTCGCCCCGTCCCACAAATCCGGCTTCTATATTTTAGCGACAGAAAGTTCAATTTTTGTGTTGTCCCACCCCTTACCCAGATATATGTATTTTAATGAATGCTCCAATATTGATGGATTTCGTTTTTCAAATAGGTTTATTTTTATCTGCGCATATCTTTTAATTATACAATATGGTAAATATATTTGAATATGTTCTAGTACATAGTTAATTCATTTATTTAAATCAAGCAGCAACCATCTATAATCATGTTCTTGTTTTTACCTTTTTTCATTGACTTGGCAAAATAAAACAAAACAAATGGAAATCTATTTGTAATTTACATTTAAGTCTAAAAACATATGATTACATCAAACACTTAGTTTTAGTTGATAATTGTTTATAATTTTCAGACACACACGCAACACACACACACATTCAACTTAAAGTGCGTAACATAAAGTAAAATAAATAAATGAAAACACATTAACACAAAAAAACAATAATCAAGAACTGGAGCGGATTGGGTTTCGTTTTCCAGCGATTTTCTGGAGATCATCATGGCAAACAGACACACTCATTTACACTTGGAATGCACGGGAGTTCTTCTATCAACTAACAAATCCTATTACATTTACAACGTTAACTATGTTTGCTTGGTTAGATCGGTTTTTTGTTGGTTTAAGTACACAATATAGAAAAATTCGCAACAGGCGGGTTGGGTTTTCTTCAATGTGGTGGCCCGCACTCGCTTTCGAGTATTTTTTGAGGGAGTTACAAAAAGGGAAGTTCGTTTGTGGAATGCTTTCTAGCTTTCAGTCCTCAGATTGGTGGAGTATTCTGACTTTGCCAGCCAATGTTTAGTGCGGATTTTGGGTTTATTAAAGCTAAAATCATCTTGGAACATTTTTTATAAAATAAAGCGGAATTAAGTTCAGAAATCATTTGGGATATTCCTGAAATCTGCGTAATTTTCTAACCTTTTTTTTGGTCATCTAACGTTAATCTTAAGATGGTATATTGATATGACCCGAAGTATAGTATTTCATGCTGATAAGCTTATAATTTAAAATTTCTCCAGTTTTTAGGATATTATAAAAAGCTACTAAAAATTCACTGGGTTTCAAAACACATATTGAAGTTATTAAAAACTATTCCGAAATTTAGTTTTGCTAAAATTTAGTTATATATCCAGATGAAAAATGACAAAAGCTTCTACAATTTATGTTCCGCAATATTTTATAAAAATTTAAAATATTCCTTTGTTTACATATAAATAAATTTGTTTTTTGTTTTTGTCAAAATTAAGTACAACATAAATTTAGAATCGAAATATTGCACAAAATGGTTACCATTTTTGTTTCCTATTTTTTTTTAAATCCGGATCTACGACTAACACAACAACATGCACGCACAACAACAACAACAATTAGGCCAACGATTAGGTCAACAACAACGACAACAACATGGAACACAGTTTGCATCAAACTACGTGTGTGACGGTTCGGTTTTATGGTAATTATCAGACGGATTCATAATACTGACTGGCTCGCCCACGGGTACGCCCCCTTTCCGCCTACGTCAGGATGGTAGACTCGCCGCCTCCCAGTGGGCGTGGACCGCCCACATGCTGCCGCTGATGCTGCTGCTGTTGGAGCCGCCCAGCGCCCACCCTCAGCTTCTTGTGTCATTTCTTGCCACCGAAACTTGGTTTTGGAAGAGTAGCCATAAAAGCACCAGCATTTGTGGGCAAAGCGGGTGCCACAAAGCTGAGATCGGGAATGAGGGAGATGCGTGGAGCCACTTTGGCGTTGCCGATTTGGAACTGCTGCCGCTGATGATGCTGCTGATAGGTGGTGGCACCCACACCCAATCCTCCAGAAACGGGAGCCGTCGAAAAGTCATGCATGATGTGTATTTGCTGTGGAATGGCTGGCACATTGTTGTTGATGCTGCTGCTGTTGTTGCCGCCGCTGGGCACCAGGTTGCTGTGGGGATGTTGCTGTTGCTGCTGTGCTTGGTACAAACTCAAGGGATTGTTGTAGAAATTGGCGCTCTGCCAAGCACCGGAATTAAACTGTGGTGCTGGCCGAGCCGGCATCGGAGTGCTACTCACAAAATCCGACCAATCATCTTCTTTTGGAGCTGCAAGTGGCTTCCTCAGGTTGCTTGCTACATTATTGTTGTTGTTTGCTATAGTGTGTTGGTGATGTGCCTGCTGCTGTTGGTTAACTGGAACAGATACAAAATCCGACCATTCATCATCCTCTTGCGGCTGAGATTGAACTATTTTGGGAGGAGTTGGTTTCTTGGCCACTGAAGCGCTTATCGTAAGAGGTTTGGCTTGCGAGGAAAACAACTCCTCTATCCTAGCCATTTCCTCCGCATTTATGCTGGACAAAGCATTGTCGCCCCACTCTATGGACGACGCTTTCTTCTTGGCCAGCGGAATGGCTTGGGGCAGCAATATGGCCGGACTGAGGATCATCTGTTCGCCGAAAGTGGGTGTATCGAGCCGCGATCTGGGCGCCGGCATCGATTGAAAGTCACTAAAGTCATCGTCTTCCGCCTGGGGCGGCAATTCAAAGTTGCTGGCAGCTCCATTGCCACTCACTTTGCTGGGCGAATCCAGACCGAATGGTGGCTTGTACTCCACATCACGATACTCCTTCTTGACCACCGTCTCATCGATAATAATGCCCGTGGCCGCCATCTCGTAGTCGAAATCAATTGGTGCCAAAGTGGTGGTCTTGGCCACCGCCGTATCCGATTTTGAGGGTGTGTAGATGTGGGTCTCCTTCAGCGGCACCGAATAACTGGCTATCGAGCTGCCCACTATCTCCTCCGGAGCTGGCGGAGTGGTCCTCAAATCAAACTGCTCCTGCTCCGACCGCTGCTGATGCAGCTGCTCACCGCCGTTGAGCTGGTGGGCAGGGCTGTCTGCTGGTATAGCAGTCGATAGCGTCGCTGCTGCTGGAGCAACAACTGTTGCTGGTGGCGCTGTTGCGGGTTCAAGATGGTTCGACTCGGAGCCGGTGCTTGGACCTGACTTGTAGCGATGGTTCTGTCGTTCTTCGCCGTCGGAGTTGCTGGCGGAACCGGAGCCGGAGGACCCTTCCCCATGAGACGGGCCAGTCCGCGTTTCAGTTTGGCTCGCCGGTGCTGCGGTGGCGTTTTCCAATCCTGTGCGAAGGAAAGGAAACAATTATTGGTTGTCATCTTGAAAACTATTAAATATACTCTGGTATATTAGTAAAGTTTAGATTATAATCATCTGTTATGTTGCAGAAACATATTTATTTCATGAACCACTGCTTGGCTTTACAAAAATTTTGAGAATCGTGAAATGCCTTATTGTTTTAGAATTGCCTTTAATAAAAAACCATTAAGGTTGTGTTATTAAAAATTCGTTCAGAGAAATATATTTTTTTATATACAAATGTGCTTGGTATTTCTTTAGATTTTTTATAACATATTGTATTTAAATCTGTTAACAACTTAGTTAAATTTCGTGATTAGAAAATATACAAATATTGCTTGTGCTTGTCCTTACGATACTTAAAAGAATCAGATAAAGTATTGCATAAGACAAAAGTATTGTATAAGACAAAAAAAAACATATTTCAGATGTATTACAAAAAAAATAAAACCAGCCATATTTTCTCCAATGAAAAATATTTTTGTTAAATATTTGTTTATGGATTTTGAAATGTGTAGCATAACCTTCGAGTTGCCAGAGATTTCAGGAACACATCAGATGATAGATTACGTTAGAAACAATATTATATATTAGTATGAACTGTATCTAGCTAAGAAAAATGTGAAAATGAAGGGAGATCTTGGGTGGGTTTCAACTACTTGTGCTTGAACTGAGCTGGCTGAGATCGGATGCTTTGTGCCAAAGTAACAAGAACCGGGGAACTGTGGATCAGGGTGGACAGTACAGGTAGATAGAGAAATAGAGCTGAGAAGTATATAGAGAACCGAAACTAAACGAACCGAAAAAGGAGGTGAAACGACTACAACACACGCACAGAGCCAACGAAACTTACTAAAATCCAGCAAGGCGTCGTGAGCAGTGAGATTTGTGTTAATTGTTATTGTCATTGTTGCAGTATTTGCATGATTGTTGTTAAGATTGTTATTATCGTTATTATTGTTGTTGTTGCAGATGGTGGCAAAATGTGTGAGTGGAGGAGAGTGGTGCAAATCGATTGTCAAATTGTGATTGTTATTGGTCGTCAAATCCATCACAGGTGGTTTATCATCCAGTTGATCAACAGGAGCAGCAACGTCGTTGTCACCATTATCGTAGTTGTTATTGGTGTGGGAGTTAGAGGTAACAAGATTTATTTTATCAGCATTAGCCACCACCGTTAGTTGGTCTAGTTGTTCCAATTGTAATGTCTGTACATGTGATTCTAAATACAATTTATCGTAAGGATAAACTTTTTGATTGTTTGTTGAGATAGTTAGAAGAAATGTGGTCACAAGGAAAACAAGGCAAACGAAAAAATATAGAAAGGAGCAGCCAATCGAACGGCAGGCCAATCCGGGAAGCGTGTGTCAATAGGATCGGGAAATAGGCAACGAAAAGCGTTTGAAAGTAAAGCGAGCTTTAGGCGATAGGGTGGCAATTTCTCGAGTTACGAAACTTGTGTAGCGGTTAATTTGCGGCAACTAAGTGTAGCAATCTCGCAGAGAATTATGGAAACTCACCCTGGTAGCTGCTGGGATTGGAAATCGGCTCCAAGATGCTAGTTGCGCCGGTCGATAGAGGTTTCATCGGCTTAAGGGGATCGAAGCTCAGGTTGGCGGCAAAACGTGGCATTGATGAGTTCCACTTGTCGCCGAAGAGCTGAAAATATTAAGAAACTATTAAAAGTCTGTCGGTTTCGTTAAATGTATTCCAATTTAAAAAATATATTCTAACTAGAACCCCTTAGTCCTCTTTAAATTTTTGTTTAATTAATTTTTTGTAGTAAATAAACCGACATTGTTATTGTTTATTGCATTGAATTTTAAGTAAAGTTAAATAAAATTTAGAGAAATTATCATAATTTAAAAGGTTTTAGGACTTACTATATTTCTAGAATCGATGCCAAGCGATCGAACGAGGGCATGCCTCATCTCCGAGCTGCTCCACTGGTAATCCAGGGCCTGGGCATGCTCAATGGCACCGAAGTTAAATCGTTGGCACTTTGCCAACGGTTTCCGCACATCTACACTCGTCGTCTCCCGCTCCTTTGATTGTGGGAACATCATCTCAAGCACTGGTTTCACTTGTTCATCAATGCTGAGGTGGATAGTGGCTGGCGGTGGTGGTGGAGGTACTGAGATGGGAGCGACTACGGGCTCTGAGAAGTCACCAAAATCATCGTCATCGTCTTCGCTTTGGACAGGACTTCCTTTTGTAGGAGTGGCAAATTCCTGAAAGTCATCGAAGCCATCATCTGCTGCTTCTGGATGAGAAGATTGAATAAAAACCGGCACAGTTTCCGTTTTTGTTGTGGACTGGAGCGTTAAGGACTGTGCCTCAATAACAGACTTAACAGGAGAAGCTGTCGTTGGAGTTTCTTTGACCTCTGATTCTGGTCCGGCAGCTGAGAAATCAGCAAAGTCACCAAAGTCATCGTCTTCTTCGTTATCCTGATTTTCTGTGATAATTTCTTTGTGTGCTGATTCTTTTGGTGTCGCTTCAAAGTTTTGAAATTGAAATGTATCACTATCCGCTGTTTTGCCCCAATGGTTGAAGGTTTCTTCTGTATTCTGAGGACGTTCTAAGCTTTTTCCTATGTTCTCCAACGGTTTCTCCAAGTTATTTAAACAATCCTCTTGGTTTTCCAAACTTCTAAAGCTTTCTTCTTTTTGGATAGTATCCTCTAGAGCCTTTCCCTTCCGTGGACTTTGCTGGAGCTGCTCCTCCTCCGGATAACTTCCTCCATTTGGTAGCGTTGGTGTGGCCAGCACCTCGATGGCAAAGAAATCCACGGCTCCCTCGCGTATAAATAGTTCTTTGGGCTTCTTTGGAGAGCACTCCTCGTCGCTTTCGTCAGACACATCCTCCAGCGTGACTTGGTGGCTGAGGACATGGGCTTTGGTTTCTTGCATCACGGGCGGAGCCACTGCCTCCGTTTTTGCAGTGGGTGAGAGAGTGGAGGCGGTGGAAACGCTTTCCGTGGAGTAGAGACTTAGGCTGTCCAGCTTCAAGGAGGGCACTTCCAGTTCCTCTTCTTCCAGCTCCAAACTTAAAGGAGGCGGTGTGGGTGGCGCCGTTTCTCCATAGACATCGTAATCCATTGCCTGCTTTACTTGGTAATTAAACGCCTCTGCGGTTTGTTTATTTTCCGGCAAATCCGGTGGCTTTTCTCGGAATTCCTCAGCGGGATCTGGTGGTGGAGAAGGTTCTGAAAAGTGAGTTTTACGTGAGTACCAGTTGGGGAAGGCTAATTCAAACACAGGCTTACCTTTCGAGCCGCTGACTAAGCCAAAATTAGAGTATTCGTCATTTTCGTCCAAGTGAATTGTGGATTGCAAACCGGAATCGTCGTCGTCATCCTCCCCGAAATCAATGGGAGGCGGAGGAGGAGTGCTGCAGAGAAATGGTGGTACGTTCACCATATTGCCAGCTGCAATGAATCCCCTAAAATCCACTTCCTGTTTTAAAAAAAACACAAAAAACAGGGATCTTTCGATCTTCTATCCCTTTTGCTCCTGTGTATCGGTGTGCGTGTGTGTATGTGTGACGCAGGTGTGGAGGGCTGTGTATGGCTGTATGGGAGTGTGTGAGCCACTCAAGGTCTGTGTTGGAATTTTCTTGTTTGCATTTAACACGCGTCAACTTTCATTTGTCCTCCGGTTGCGTCGAATTGCCGGATTCTTTGTGGCTCCGAAAATGTTTTGGACAAATTTGCAAATCGCGTTCTAGCTGCAATTAGCCATGTTTTTCCCGAAAACAATACTTTTTTCCAGGTTGCGTTCTGCCTTTAGTGTAACCGTTTGGGTTTCGGGGATATAAGAGTGTTGAATAACGTTGGACCATTTTGATAACAAAAAAATTCGAATTCAAAGAAGTAAATGTAAGGATTAAAATCTAAGCAGCTATAGGAAAGAAGTCAAGCAATCACTCATTGTATCATTGTATAACAACAATCTGTTAAAGTAAAGCATATAAACAAGTTTCTTATTTTTTTACTTTTTCAAACCTGCTGGCAGCGCCGCTCCTTTGCCGATAGAACTATCGATAGTCGCCGCTTGTCAGTTTTGACAGCTGTTTTAAGGTTATACTGCTGCCACTGCAATCGCTCCACCAATTTGGGTAAATTCGCTTATTTAACACCAAAAGTTGCATAAAAGCAAAGGAAGAAGGGTTCTGCAATGTATAGGGAGTGCAGGAGAACCCCAAATGTAAGATGTATAACTGATATACCCAAATTTCTTGCAGTTCCCGGTCGGACAATTACATAACTCGAAGAAGAAACCATGTCGCAGGCTCCCGTTCGCGTTTCCCCTTTGATCAAGTTCGGCAGATGGTCCTTGCTGCTGGTGGGCATTGCCTATGGTGCCGCCCACCAGAGCCGCCTGTCCAAAAAGGAGGAGAAGGTCCGTGAGATCGAGGCGCAACAGAAGGCCGTTCGGGATGCGAAACTCGCCGAGGAGAAGAAGCGCAGCGCCGAGGCTGAAGCCCGTGCTCTGGCCGAGCTCTCAAAGCCCACTCCCAAGAACTAGGACTCTGGATGGCAGATCCCTAGTTCCCTTAGCTTAAAACCTAACAAAAACCACAACATTTACACACGAAATTCGCCTGGGAGCAGCAGAAGGAGCATCGATGGTGGAGCCTCCATCTATCGATCACCGACTATCGATCGTTCTTGTGTTTTTCTCTGATGTTTGTGCAAAACAGAATGTTCGAAATTAAATGATTGAAACAAAACCATTATGTAAATACGCTCTAGTGTTCTGTGATTAAGTGGCCTCCCAAATGTATGGATAATCTGTATTAAGATCTTTATGACGACATATGGGATATATAGTACAGTGAGGATAGTTCAAAGAAACGAGCTAAATATTGCCATCATCCGATTTGTCTATAGGACCCTTTTTTGACCACGAATTGTATGATTTGTGACCATATTACCTCGAACAAAAACAAATTAAGCTTGAAGTTAAGACCTGATTTGTAAATATTTACTACTTTTAAAAGTTCTTACTGGAAGTCAGAATGCACAGTCAATTCACAAAGCACAGTTTAATTCCAAGAATCTTAAGTCAATAGTTATATATTTTGGAAAAACATTTAATGTTTTTAAATTCCTTTCGCCTTTTTTTTACCTCGAGCAGTGATAAGGAAGAGTTATTTTATTTCTGTTTTCCTTATAAAATATCCACTGTAGCTGTCAGCTGATTGACCCATTTGCAAAATGGCGCCAACAGCTGTTTTCAAGCAAAAGCCGGCCTTTATTTACCTCCTGAACTCGTTCGCAAATCGTCGCTTATTACTCGGCTGTTTGATCAATAATCCCCAGGAATAGCTCCAAATGCGGAGGTGTTGAGACACCTTCCGTGTTCGCTGGGCCATCATATCACGCAATCACATCGAGGACATGCCATCGCAGTGATGACAAACTTTTTGGATCAGTTGCCCAAGCGAATCAGGGAAATCGCTGAGCAGGGTAAGAGTTTCGGTTTCTAAAACTTAGTTCGAGTACCAACTAATGTCCTGTTCTCCAGTTAATGTCCTTACGCCGGAGGAGGTGCTGACAACGCCGCCAGTCCGGTTCCTGGATACACGCCAAGAATCCCTGTACACCATAGTGCGGCAGTGCACTCCGGATGATGTGAGGGTGCTTAAGGATGCGGCTGCCAAGTGGCTGGCTGAGATGCCCCAGTCAGGTAAGTAAATCTGGAGGATATAGACATTTCCCCCATTTGCACGCTTATAAAATACGCTACTGTCAAACATATGTAACTCGAAATCTAGATACATAATCTAATCAAAAAAATGTATTAACGGCAAAATTCAATTTAAATGCAGATGAAAATGGGTCAAAAATTTGATCAACGTTAAAATGAAAAATTTGAATGCAGTTTTTTTGAGAATTGAAACACAAGTCTTTAGAGGTATGCCACTTTTAAATCGGTTTAAATTTGGCAAAGTTATGAACTCTGGAAGTCCAATTGTGGGTTACCTTTTCACAAGTCATCGGAAACTTAGAAATAACTGACATGAAAATGGGTCAAAAATTTGATCAACGTTAAAATGAAAAATTTGAATGCAGTTTTTTTGAGAATCGAAACACAAGTCTTTAGAGGTATGCCACTTTTAAATCGGTTTAAATTTGGCAAAGTTATGGACTCTGGAAGTCCAATTGTGGGTTACCTTTTCACAAGTCATTAGAAACTTAGAAATAACTGACATGAAAATGGGTCAAAAATTTGATCAACGTTAAAATGAAAAATTTGAATGCAGTTTTTTTTTTAAACACAAATCTTATTAGAGGGTATGCCACTTTAAAATCTGGTTTAAATTTTTAGGCTTTAAAGGTTTAAATTTGGAACTCTGGAAGTCCAATCGTGGGTTACCTTTTCGCAAGTCATCGGAAACTTAGAAATAACAGCGACATGAAAATAAAAAATAACGTTAAAAAAAAATTTAAATGTAGTTTTTAAACAAAAACTTTAGAGGTATGCCACTTTTAAATCAGTTTAAATTTGAGTGCAGATTTATAAATTTGGAAGTCCAATCGTGGATTATAAAGAAATGTTGAAATTTAAGAATCTATTCTGAGATAGTTAGGTTCAGGAATATACAAATAATTAACCCCAATTATTGCAGCCGATTCCCTCTTCAAGCCATTGGTCAACGTAAGATGGTCTCGGGTGTCCTTCGGATGTTCAGCCTTGGATCGATGCACTGGAGGGGGCGTGGTCACTCGGGGAATTACCGAACTTTGTGGAGCAGCCGGCGTGGGCAAGTCCCAGCTGCTCCTCCAGTTATCATTGTGCGTCCAGTTGCCCACCGAGTTGGGAGGATTGGGAAAGGGCGTGGCCTACATTTGCACTGAGGATGCCTTTCCTGCGAGAAGGTTGCTGCAGATGAGCAAAGCTTGCGAGAAGCGACATCCCCAGGAGAAGCTCAACTTCCTGGGAAACATCTTCGTGGAACATCATTATGAAACTGTGGGTATATATAATTTAACAAATTGTAAACTCTTTAATTTATTTAGCACACACAGAAGGATAAATTAAGATATTTTTTTCAACATTCCAATCTAATTAAATATCATTGGTCTGATTTAAAACGTGCTTTTGAAATCAGGTCCTCTATAATCGAGCCTGTCTTAAAATCTTATATAGACAAAAAATAAGTGGTTTTAGAACCCGTAAGGTATGCTGTAAAAATGTAAAGACCTTTTCCACCAAAAAGCTGGGTTCAAAATTTATGAAAGCAAACCTGCAGTCACTTTTGTTAGTGGTTTCTAGCCCTATATTTGTGGCTAAATAATTGGATATTACAATTTCGAAATACTTTTATGTGAAACTCTAGTATAAATTCCTATCGCCCACAGGAACCCCTCCTAAACTGCATAAGAAATCGTCTGCCGCGATTGATGCAACAACATGGTATTGGTCTGATCATCATCGATTCCGTAGCCGCTATATTTCGACTGTACACGGACTTTATGGAACGGGCCCGTCAGATGCGTCGTTTGGCAGACGCTCTGCTTACTTATGCGGATAAATACAACTGTGCCGTGGTCTGCGTCAATCAGGTGGCTGCCAGTGGAGGTCAGGATGAGGTGCCCTGCCTGGGATTGCAGTGGGCACACTTGGGTCGAACCCGACTGCGAGTTTCACGGGTGCCCAAACAACATCGGATGGGAGATCAGTTGATCACGGTGCGCAAAATGGAGATCCTGTATTCGCCGGAGACCCCAAATGATTTTTCCGAGTTCCTCATCACCGAGGAGGGCGTGGTGGATGTTCCGGAGCCAACTCCAACCCGCCCACCTGCCAAAATGCGTCGACTGTGATCGATTGAATTTATTCTGTTTATTTTGTTTTCGTTTAATTTGTTGAATTTAAAATGTGTAACGGCGGAGCGTCTATCAGCCATATTATTGTTTAATAATCCAATTAAATTTAGCGGAAGTTGCAGAAATCTATTGTATTTTAAGATCAATGTAAGGTAGCTAGAAAAAAGAATATGGTGTTTAAAAGACTTAGTGTCACTTTCTATTTAGTTTTGGTTGAAATAAGTGAAAAGAATATTTTTTAAATATTTGTTTTACTTTGGAAAATGTAGCCTTAAGATTCAAATAAATATGATTTACAATTCCGCTAAATTTATTCAGAATTTAAACTGTTTTTCGGGCTACATCATCTCATTTGTAGCCTTGATTTCTTTTTTGTACAAACACTCAATAAATATGTTTCATTCAATTGCAATTTACAGGGTAGCAGAGCTTACAGGTCTACACATTATATAGTTCATAGTTCAAGTAGTAAAATCAATTTTGTAATCGCCTCGTATACATTATCACATGAAATTCTAGAAAGTTCAGATTACAATTTGCCATAGTTTACGCGGACATTTAAATGCGACATTTACAAAAGCCTAGCCTTAGCGTTTAAGTATATTAAATAAATTAAATACAAGCCTAAAGGTGAACGGATTACGCGACAATTAAATTACAATTAGGTTTTACAAGTATGGGGTTTTTACTTCTGTTTTCTTTTTTATTTGTTTTTATTTTTTGGGGGGTTTCCTCCTCTTTGTGGATGAGCAATAGCAATATTCGACTTTTTGGCACAAGTTAATTTGACTGTGTGTGGGGGGGATTTTCATCAGTTTCTTAGATCTCCCGCATGGCCACATCCTGATCCTGGGAATCGTGGGCCTCCGTGGAATCGCAATGTTCACTGGAGGACACCTCCTCCTCCTCCTCTTCCTCGCCTTCGCCCTCGCCCTCCGATGAGGAACTTTCCGTTTTGACCAACTTTTCCGGCTGCATCTGTTTATTGGCCATGGCCAAGGCGATGGATATTTTACTTGCAGCCAATTTGCTTTCAAAATCCATTTCCGTTAGCTGGCCATTTCGAATTGCCGCCCTTTGGAGACTTAACTGTAGTTCCCGATGTTGCGGCGATTCTTCCAGTTTTATGTCCAATTTCTCCGTTTGTTCGAGCGGAGCAGCTGGTTCTACTGTTAAAGGTATAGCATGTTGATGCAAACGCTGGTGCAGCAATTGATTTTCATTGTTATTATTTATCCTTTTTTCGACTGCAGGTTTTTGATCCGATGGCTCCATTTCCGCACTTCGATTTGCCTGGTTAGCCGATTTAACCGTCTTCTCCAGGAGGGCATTCAATTGTTTTTTAATTTTGGTGGTACTTTGTTTGCCTGGCAATTTTCCCTCGCTATTATTAACATTATTATTTAGTGTATTATTATTATTATTGTTACTGCCGCGATTTGGAGATTTTGGAGATTTTTTGGTCTCCACAGTGGGTACGGCACTGCCAACAGTGGGCGAATTTGTATTTGTATTGGTAACTTTCTTTTCGCCGGGTTCGCCACCTGTTGTGGTTGTTGTTGCTCCTGGCTTGACAGTCGTGGATTTGTGTTCCGCAGCCTCGTTGTTCGTGACATTATCCTGCTTTTTCCACTTGGTGCGGCGATTTTGAAACCAAATTTTCACCTGAAAATGGACAGAAACAAAGTTTGCAATCAATTTACCAGTTTAAGGATAATTTACTTTTTTTCTTTGAGCTGGCAATGCATGTTTTGTTGTTTTGGGAAATTTTTAAACTTATTTTACTTAAACATAACTTAGAAAATACCCCTTTATACAATACAGTGCATGTTGATAATAAATTATGATTGGCCTACAATCTATAAAGGTTAGCTAATTATCATAATAAAAACAATATTTTTTTGAGCATTTAATCCTAATGCCACTCTACATAAGATTGGGTGTGAGATTCTTAACAGTAAGATATCATTTATATAAACATCACAATGTTTCATTCATGAATATATGAAAATATTCAATAGCTGACATAGAACGGAATTGCATATATATAAATATCTATAAAAAATATAAAAATTAAAAGTTATTCCCAAAAAATTCTTCACATTTTCCCAATACAAGGTGGAAATTGTGTTTAATATGATTGCGCCCCAAATGGGTGAGTCAAAGCCAGTTCATAGCCACATAATTACGAATGTTTATGCCCCATTTGGCCTTATTAGTGGGCGCACAACAAATAACTCGAGAATTGTGTATCCTCCCGGTCGAAATTATTCGAATATACTCGCAACACTTCCGCCCCGTCAGTCAGTCGCTGCTCATTTTTCCACCGACTCCAAACGAGCGCAATGATGAAATGACAGGCGCACGTCAAAAGGCGAAAATCGACCCCCCTTCGGTCGCTATTTTCCCCTTTTCAATGGCGCAACATAAAACATTTGCCTCTTATTTTCGTTTTCATTTCCATTTCATCCAGAAATGATGGGCCGGCTAAATAAATGAAAAATCTATTTAAATCGCGCACATAATTAGTATTTCAGCGGCATGTCTGCAGATACACACACTTGGATTCAGAAAGAGATACAAACGCCAAAGATAGATGCCTGCTATATGACATGCTCGTTTCGCCGGAGTGGCGGAAAATAATTATGAAATTAACATGAAAACGCTGCAGATTTCCCATACCAAAAGAAAAAAAAAACAGCACAATTTTCAAAGAGGAAATGCTCAAGTACAAACGGCACAAACAAACCCCGTAAATCGTATTGAAAATCAATTAATTGATTGCCAAATATTTCTGAATTTACTCGAATTCAAAAAGTTATGTACCCGGCGATGGATTGATGCCCATGCAAATTGTTTATTTTACGGATGAAGATGGATTATGAGTGAGTTTCCTCACTATTATTTTCGGACCCCGGTGCAATTGGCAATTACTCATCCCGCGTGCCACCCCGAAAATGATCATTAGATACATTCATACGTTCATAAACAATAAAGCATTTCCCGTGTTTACCTTATCCGCACTCTTAATGGCCAGCCAAAGTGGATTCCTGCCTTTCACCTAAATGGTTTTTGTTTTTATGGCCTTTTGGGATACGGGCCTCATCATCGTCGTATTTAATTGTTGATTATTCTCAAGTGTTCGCTGGCCATTGAGTGTGCGATGATCTAATTGATCCGTGGATTTCAAATTATTAATGTTGGGGCGCGATGCGATTTGGTAAATATTGCATAAATCTTCATTAATAATTTATGTACGCTCCCCCTTAAATTCTTCCGCTTTTGGCTTGAATAGATTGCGTATCGTCAATAAACTGCCTTGTTTGTTGTGTTTTGATCTGAGCACTAAACCTCATTAAGGCGAGATGTGGAAATATTTCTAAAAATATCCAAAACTTGTCAAGCGATTCATGGCCCCGCATTCGCTGCCCCTCGCATTTCTTTCGACCCGCTTATGATTTATTGACATTTAAGAGTGTCTGTGTGAGCGTGTGTGGCAAAAATGACAGAAACAGAGCGCATAAATAGCCCAAAAGACAAACCAAACCACTCGGAAAATCAAAAAAAAAATGATTGAAATTTCCTAGTAATTTAATGGATTTTCTTGGGGAGCATTTCTAGATAAACTATATTTTCAACAGGGGATTAGGAAGACGTTTAAAAAATAATTAACATTTTAAAAAACATTTTAACACATATGAATTAATCGAAAAATAAATTTATGGTTCCTAAATAGTCCAATGCATAACAGAATTAAAGTTCCTTTTATAGAATTAAGTATTGTTTATTTTGATTCCTAATAAAGTGCTTTCCACTATTTCGAACTGCACTGAATATTATATAAATAAATAAATAGAAATGAAATTGGATTTTCTGAGAATTATACTAATTAATTTATTAGGCATTGTTAACTTTTCTGTCAGTGCAAATGGCATTTGCCACTTAAATAGGTTTATGACAGATGCGTTTTGGCTATTTTGTTGGTCTTACACATGTATTTCAATCAACGCCACAAGATCAGAGAGTCGCAAGAATCCTTAAATAGTCCGCTAGCCAGTCTGGTCGGGTCTGTAATTTTCTTGAGCCCATAACCCATGCTGTTAACCTCGCTGCCATTTCCCCCCTCGGTTTTTCCTTCGCTATGCGTGTGCTTAGTATAATTAATTTTCACATTCGCCGCGCACTTTTCGAAAATAAACGAGAGAAATTATGTCTGGCCCAACAATGAGCAGCCAAATTAGGATGGCCGAGTGTTTTGGGTGCGGGGAGGGAAAACGCTACTTAGTAATGGCGTCTGCTGTACATTATTCTCTGGCGTGCCAAGAAAAATTCAACAATTTCCCGAACTCTCCCTTTACAAATAATGTTTTAATGTGTAATTTAGCATATTTTCTGTTTGTTTGTTGGTTTTGTGGTGTTGAAAAAATTATGATAATTGCCCCGGAGCGTGGAATGCGGAATATTGTGGATGGAAAAACAGGAAAGGAAAGCCCATAACTCACTTGGACTGGATACTGAATGAACTAAAATCTCTGTAATTATGCATCCACAAGCCCTGAATCAAATGTAAACTAGTCCTATTATATGGCAAATGTGGCAAAGTACCTTCAATTCCCATAAACACCCGACACCCACCCAAAAACCCACTTGCTGCCTCTGTCGATTCTTGCTGTGTAATGAAACACTTTGCTCCGTGCAAATAAACGCATTGCATTGCCATTGCTAATTAATAACATAATCACTGCATTGCCTGTCATTTTGGATTATGTTCGCCCACACAATTACCACCAATAATCCACCCCCCCTTGCCTAAATACGGAGCATACCGAAATGTTAACTGAACATGTTCGAATGCCGAGCATTTTGGAAAGGTTTGAACTTCCTGCTGCTGAAATGTGCTGGCAGTCACGGGATAAAACGGTAGTCACTGTGAATTAGGGGATTAGCGGTTTGGATATAATATCATATTATAACTAAATCATCTAAAAATATGCCTTTGGAGATTCTCCTAGATTTTAATGGCATAGTTAAAAGTCTTAGAATTTTTTGTTTGATTTTTATAATTTACAATATATTATATATATATTAAACTATATTTATTCATTCATCGTAATATTAACAAACCGCTTAACTAACTTTAAATATTTAATGTATTTAACATGCCTAAATTTCTCAAGTCATCTAAATTTTAAGTTTTTTGTAATATTTTTGAAAAGTTTACTCTATAAGCTCTTTCTATTTTTTTTTATATTTAATATATCTCTCACTTAAATTTGGACTTGTTATTCTCATTAGTACTAAAACGTTGTGGATATTAATT